ACGGCAAAAAAGTCTATTGACTGGCAGTTGACTTTTCACTACAAACTACCATCGCCTCACTCGATGCCATATTCGAATATTTCACAGTACTCACCTCACCTTTGTTCTACCTTGGTGTTTGGTCTCTTATATCTTCGAAACATTCTTCTGTTCCCCCCCCCTGTCGACTTTTTCAATTTGATGTTTCCTCCCCTCTGTGAAGCCTGAAGTCAACTAAAGGGCTAATGATAACTATCAAAACGCCTGCCATTTGATATAAATAAATAATGATTTGGATTGAAAGATATAAGGAGATTGCTAATAGGAGAAATTTGCATCCTGTCACACCTCTACTTGGCACGAATTAATCCAGTGGTGTCAATCATAGACATCGTTGAAGCCTCTACAGCATGGTCTCTGAATTAACGGATGTGCAAGATGGTTACAGCACTACTATTACGGCCGAACAGCATTTCTAATAGTTATATTCAAATTGAATTAGTCAATTTAAACTAAATCAGATGCCAATCTTGGTACAATTATAAAGACAGGAGAAATGTCATTGCTAAGTTTAATAAGGGAACTAAAAAGCTCATTGCTACTAATCGAGCAGAATTGTCGTTGTTGGGAAAATCGGATCCAATTAATCTCCACATTATCAGGAGGAAAGAATACTTCTCATGAGATTAAAATAAATCTTAATACATATTTTTTGAAATAAATTAAGCAAACGAACCTGGTTTTCCAACAAGAGACATGAAAACATCCTCATAAACACGATTTCGATGTACCTTCAAGTTGACTGGAATGCCTCGCGTGGTGAGCAAGCCGTGGTTATAAGTTGGTCTTTGATGACTAATACGATAGTTTCTAACCATCGCAACAAATAGCTACGAAAAAGAAATAAGAAAAAGATATGAGTGGAATGTGTAGGTCTCGACTCATTAGATGAAAAATTCTATAATAAGAATTGATTCACGCAAACAATTCATTGGTTTAAATTTATCGATAAGTACAATAGAGTATACGCAAGCAAGTCTATCGCTTAGCACTATGTCAAATGCGCCTTTTATTATTAACCCAAAATAATCTATTCAGCCACTGAATAGTCTTCCAATTTATGGTGCACATTGAGACAGGCAATTTAGCGACTCTTAGACACTTAAATTTTTCAGATAAACATTTAACAAAAAAACTTGAAAACAAATATCAAAGTGACACATAATTGGGAGGGAGGGAGAGGGGGCATCTTAGAGTCGCTCCAGATGAAAAAAACATCAGTTTTGATGAAGTCCTCGAAGATACTTGAAATGAACCCGCCAAATAGTAGAAACGTAAGAAGAATTAAAAAGAGGCAATGATACAACAAGTGCAAGTCATCAAGTCTAAAAGTTATTGGAGTAAGAAAAAGGCAAGCAGACCTCTTTCAAAGTTCTGAAGACTTTCAACAGATAGTTCAAAGGGAACTAAGAACGATCAATAGAACGGTTATAACTTTATTACAACAAAAATGGGAAAAGGTAAATATTGTCAAGGGGATGCACATAAAAAATTTTTATTATATTTTTCCAACAGGGGTGTGCGATAGACTTACCTCCACGTAGTGCACCCTGGGCAACGTATACTCAAACGGCAAAAAAGTCCGTAAACCGGCAGTTGACTTCTGACTTCAAACTACCATCACTTTAACTGGCAGTTGACTTCTGACTTCAAACCACCATGACCTCACTAAACTGGCAGTTGACTTCTGACTTCAAATTGCCATCACCCCAAAACCGGCAGTTGACTTCTGACTTCAAACTACCATGACCCCCTGGGTAACGTATACTCATACGGCAAAATCTATTTGTGCGCCCTGGGCAACGTATACTCATATGGCAAAAAAGTCTATTACCTACGCCCTGGGCAACGTATACTCAAACGGCAAAAAAGTCTATTAATCGACAATCTACCATCACTCCACTGTATGCCATATTCCACCACTTCCTCAATACTCATCTTACCTTTTCTATATCTGTCTCTTTACATCTGTGAATCACTCTTCTTCCCCCCTCTCGACATTTTTTCACTTTGATGTTACTCCTCTACTCTGTGAAGTCCGAGGTCAGCTAAAGGGCTAATGATAGCTATCAAGACGCCTGCCATTTGAGATAAATAAAATATTTTCCCAACAAAACAACCAAAGTCATGAAAATCAGATCTTAACTTCAAGGATATATTTCCAAGCGATCACTGCAGAATCGGAGTACCTATTACCCTACTGTAAACACCAGACTCCATTGCAAAACTCTTACGTGTTCATAAATAACCTGTTAGTAGTGAATAAACCGCTTACTTGACTTTTGAGTGACCATTGCAAGTTGTCAGTCTGTGCAGCTCCCCCTAAAACTATATGCCTCCTGTCCGCAAGAATTCATGAACTCACATATCATCCCAGGAGCACGGTCATGATCATTTCCACTTCCAGAGCATTACCTCCAGCATCCACGATTCATTTCATTCCTCTCAGTCTTCGGTGTCAATTTCAAGACTCCCTTGAATGAACCCGATTGTGCCAAATGTCTAGTTACTGCTTAGGAGTAGTGAAGATTGATAAAAATTAGAATATCAGCTTGCGGCTGTATTTCAACCTTCCACTCTTTAACTTGCTCCTTATTCATCTCTTCCACTCCCTATTTCTTCCTACTCAAAGAAGCTTCATGTTTAATGATCCTAGTGGTTGTCTTTTCTAAAATTTTCCCAAGTTCATGACTCCAAATCACAGCTCATATTCTTAAGAGTAATTAATTCATTTAATTGAGAAAAACTTTCATGAAAGCAAATTGAAATGGAGAAAATTACCTTGACTCTGTCCCAGAAGGGAAAGATGAAAGGCAGCTCAAAGATAAGAGTCCATTTTCTCCAATAGATATAAGCTCCCGAGGTCATCGACGTATCCTCAGCTTAACGAATAGAAGCAAAAAAAATAGTTAAAACCATTTCAAACAAGTTTAAGAAAGCTAAATGAGTTCTCTCCAAGTGCTTATAGCAAAGTTTTCAAACCACAAACTAAATTGAACCATTTCCAGAGGTGCTTGTTTTTAAGTTTGGATGGCCAATTTTTAGTATAATAAAGAATATGCGTTTGGGCAGACTCCTCCTTCATGGCAATTGTTATTTTGCTTAGAAAGCTGTTTTTAAGGCCTTACCTCGTTCTTCGTCTCTCTCTCTCTCTTACGATCCACCTTCCCATATTTCACTCCAAGGTTAATTGCGCGCTAATACAATGAAATTTGATTTACTGACAATCATTCAGTTAGTTGTAAGTTAGACAACAACAGATGATCTATGTGGGAGTAGCCTACTTCAACACATTCCTGGCTCTTCTAACTTCAAAACCAATGAAGAAAGTGCCACGAAGCACTAATCCCCATAACTGACCTTATTGAAATTCAACAAAATCACTCGGAGCAAAAAATTTTTCCCGAAAAGCCGAGGAATTTCGATCTTAAAGCACTAACAACGACCATTAATCTAGACAAATTCTAAAGTAAACAACAAAAACACTTTCTACAAAACTTCGTTTGTAAAAAGGCGCTAAATTCCATTCGGCAGAAAAGGAATCTTAGGTATGCTAAAAGCGAAGGCTCGCAGGAAATCAAACTATGCAAACACACACACACACAGAGAGAGAAGGCAAGGCATTCTAGACGATGACCACTTATTCTTCAACAGTCGACTCTTTAAGTTCAGTTGTGTAGCTAATGTAGGGAATTCTGGGCAAATAGTGAGTGGAAAATAACTGCTTCAATTAAGGACTTTCCACAAAAGTAAGGACAGCCTAATAGGCACTATAAAAATGGTTAACCGTAGCATTACACTCCAACGAAGCCAATGACAAGAAAAGAATATGTTGAGCAGATTGCTCTAGGAAGTGCCACAGCCAAGTTCCAACAAACAGAAGACCAGCCTCTAGTTATGAAAAGCGAACCAAACACTTATTCCGAGTCATAAAGTACCAAGATGAACTAAGATAAGGCGAATTATTCAAGACGCAGGAGGGAAGCTTCGTTCATAGCTAAAATTGCTAGAATGCCGATACCGTCTCCAAAGACGCGAATCTCTGCTTCAGTGGAAACCAACCCAATTAGTGGTGTTCGAGATTACAAACAGAAAATGATTGTTTGCAGGAAAAAACTGTGCACTATCGACGACATTATTCTCCATAGGAATAGAAACGGTTTAAGGAAATTTCAAAGGAGTGGTTATGTACAAGTTTTAGTTGAGGCTAAATTACCTATAAAAATCCCACGCTATGTGCTAATATATTTGTATAGTTCAAATATTTGAAATTCCGCATCAGAGAGAACCTACCTGCATCAGGATTTAGACAGCTGAAATAACCCAGTTCAGCTCCAGTAGATTCTCGGGATTTCAAATCATCGCAAAATTTCAATATCCACTCGGCAGTTCGTGTTTCAGCTAGTTCTGAGGACATAGAGGAGGAACAGAGCCACTCTATTCCAGGTTCCGTTTCCTGATTAGAAGGATCGCTGGTCGCAATGGCCCAGTCCTCAAACTGAAGGCGCCTTCGACGTCTTCGCCAACCGTAAATCAGGAGAATGACCTGCTGAGTAGCAAGAAAAACGTTCCTCCAGCGATGCAGACACCATATCAATCGAGCCTTCTCATCAACTCTCTCTCTATCTGGGGAGTTTGGGGATCTACCAGACATTCTTTGTCGCTCTACCCTTGCAATCACATCTCCCAAGGTCACCGGGGCGTATGAGCCATCGGGTTTAGCACGCAGAGGTGGTCTGTCCGGGTAGAGTAGATCAATAACTCCAAGTAGGAAGTCTCGCAGTCGTAGGCCCACAGAAAGAAGGCGGCTGGGAGTAAAACCGTAGGAATTGATATTTTCGGGCGGCTTAGGATTTGCATCTACTTCCTCGTCTGTTAGTTGATGCAAACGATAATGAAGACTGGCCAAGAAGGTTAAGAGAACACTGGTAAATCTAAAGGAAAGAACAGGTATAAGTGGCATTTCATATATACTATACTGCACTTCTTGAAAAACGCAGAAAAGTGGTAAAACTCACACATCCATGTTCCTGGGTGTATCCGTAATGGTTTTATTTACGATGGAATCAAAGATGGTCTCCTCTTTATTCTCCATCCGAATGGTAGTGACTAGCTTCCACAGATCTTGTATGAAGTGAGGTGATTCGGATACGCACGATGTTAACCTAAAAACAGCACTTCGAGTGTAAAACAAAGTAAGCACCAATTAAAACGTGAAAGCCGACTGTTCAACTTACGATCGGAGGGAATTCGGGGGTGTAGAACGATAAAAGGCAAGCATTGAATAGAGAATAGGAATGGAATTAAGGACTTCCTCTATGTCTTTGCTCTTGGAATCGCTGTAGTGACTGCTATAGGCACCTTGAATAACGTCCCTAGATGTTGAAAGTAGGATTTTCTCCAATAGATCGAATACCTCTTTAGTTTGGCCAGGCTGAAGAAGATTATATGCTCGGTTATTAATATGCTCGGAAAGTAAATCTGTCCACTTCACTAAATCTCGTGCTGATGATCTACCAATTAGTCACAAATCAATAGATTTCAATGAAAATAAAAAATTAGAGACAGTGGTTTTTTTTCTAACTTTACGAGACTGCTGTATCTCATGAAGATCCAAATGTCTCCCAACTATTTCCTATCCTCTTACAGCAGCCTGTCAACACAGTGGACTGTATTTTTTCTCACCATTAAAGCAACTCGGGCAGAGAAAATATCGATGGAAATTCTCTGCCCTTTGGTCATTAAACCTACAAGCAAACATAACAAATGTTACAATTTCCCAGCGAATGCCAGCTGAAATTTGTTAGCAACAAATGTGAGGCGATATAAAATAAACTTTTGGAGCAAAATCAAGGAAGTCATACTTAATTGGATTTTTGGATTTAGTTGCAAATCATACCTGCAGGTGTGCCTAATGTTATAAAATCAAACCTCATATTCTTTCAACCTTAGTACTGGGCAAATATTGTCTAGGCTTTCTGTATTAAGTGAATGGATAATTAACTATGATGACTGGTCTCGTCACTTCAGTTCTCTCCAAAGGAAAGTGAACTGAAATGGTATCAGAGAGCTAGTTTGAGCTTAAAACATGGTATAGCTGTGCTAGACCACTAAGTAAGAAGTATTTACTCAAAGTGAACAATTTGATAGCTTCAATACTGGCTGGGAAAGGCGTTAGGGGTCAATTCCCCCTCGCCCGCCCCCTCCAATCTGTGTCCTTCGATGATCTCTTTAAGATTTTGTCTCATCCAACACGAGATCGCTGTTTTTCCGCATTACGTCTCACTAACAAAAACCCTGCTTTCTTTCAAACTAACCTTTAGGCCACCATTGCATAAATACCAGAACCATAAGCCGAAAAAAAAACTGATAAAAATTACGCCTATGGCATATTTACAATTAGCAGTATTCGTTATCTGGCGAGAAAAATGGGCGAAATTTGCGTGAACTCAAGCAAATAGTATTATTAAATATAACGTCAAAATTTTAGAAAAAGGGCTCAAAGAACTCGGACATGCAAACGCTATAATTTAGGCTCTACAAAATGCAAATTTTCAATTAATTCTCACAAATTCAGGAGATGCGATTGAATAGTGAGATTCAATAAAACGTCAAAAGGTTATATAGATGAATCAAGAAATGAGCACTCCACTCAGTCACTGTTGTTAACTCATTAAAGAAAGGGTACTGTTAATGATCAAAATCACATGATTTAAAAAAAAGTCAGAAAAAAGACAAGATAAAAGATTATAAAACTCACTACAGAGTCTGTAAATCTTATAATTTCCGCTGGTGGTGGTGTTCGTTCGAAATCCCTTCCGGTGTGCGAAATATTCGCATCAGCATCATCATCATCATCATAATCTGCCTCAGCGCTATTACTACTATCACTATCACTATCAGCATAAACACTATCGACGAGGATTGATGAATGTTGAGTGGTCCTCGTTTGGCTAGAATGTGGGCCCTGTAGGGGTTCCGGAGCGAAAGGCGGGGAAAAAACGGAGGTACTGCCATCGGCGGGACATCTAGCTGCTATTAGAGCGGAGAACATCCACGCAAGGATGCTAATCACTCGAAGTAAAATCTCATGGTCGTCTTTGCCGTTAGAGCCCAAGCGCCTCTCGCGCAAATAGCGCTGGACAGGACCACTTAGAAATACCATCAGTAGATCTGAAAATAATCGATGCGAAAATAACTGTCAAATTAGGTTTTTACTGAAATTATTTCAGTACAACGTATTAATAACATGACTGGGGAACCTCTGTAAAATTCAAACCCAAGTTTCTAGAATGTTTGAGAGTTATCATGACTATTCAACCTATGGATAGAAGCAAATCGAGAGAACAAATGTAATTAGCTCCATGTGTAGAGAGTTGAAAATCTCTACTTAATGCAAAAGTAAACATCATCTTAAATTGAAAAAAAATATTAGAGATTGGCAAATATTTCCCATACACGAACTCCAAGTAGTACCCCATCAATCCTCATTAAATTAAAGCACACATAACGTAAAGAGCAAACTTACTCAGCGATGGTTTTAAGAGCCCATTTTCAGGGATTGATTGAAGGCTTTCACTTTTGCCACAAGCACAAACATAGAGGTAATTTACAAGGGTTTCAAAAGGAATGGAGTTTACAATTAGAGGGAAGATAAATCGAAGAACTCGGAAGGATTCGGTTGATCCGTTTTGTTCATCAACATCAGCAATATCTTTCACAGCCATCGAGACAACCTCTTGAAGGGGACTCACGCCATTGATAGACTCTTTGCTAGAACAGAGCTGAAACGATGGTGAAATTGCAAGAGTTAAGAAAGTCATGACATAATAACAAGAGTTTGCTTATCACACATAGGTATGATGAGAACAACTGTATACAAGTAGCACTATCAACAATTGGACGCTAACGTTCAGATAAGGAATGCAAGCGTCGGTCTGATGGAAAACTCGCATTCTACCAAACTTCAAGTTTGCCCAGAGTACCCAACGCAGATGGTTAAGCATATCAATGGATAAGTGTCGACTTCCCGACCTCTCTTAATTGATTTAAGCGTTAGTGGACATGAGTAGATTTTCTTAATAGCATTTATGTGTTCAAACATGAGGATGACCAGTTAAAGAGGAAGAATAGAACTTTTAAAATAATTATAGCACAAACTCAACTAACCGAGAAGGGAGCGCGAATAAGGTAGACAAAGCTCCTATTGTTTGGCATCCTGATGAACTCATCGAAAGCAGAGGAGTTGAACTCAGCAGGAAAATGAGATTGATGATTAATAAAAATAACCAATGGAGAGAAATATCGACCGCGTTTGCAGACATCGAGGAATAAATTATCATATTCAATACTCGGGATAGACTGGAAGTATTGATGTGACCTTGACTTGAAGAGATACACATCTAACACGTTTAAAATAATAGAATATTGATCCGTAGAAGTTAAAGGCGGAAGACTTTTGAGGTGTCTAAAAGGGAAAGGAGGAGGTTAGCTTGTGGCACTCTTTTATGCAAAGAAACATGTCGCAACTCACAAAAGGAAATTTATAATGGTTTGCTTAACCACTGCGAGAAGGTGAGAATGCCCCTCAACAATCGACTGGATAAAAATTGATTTACATATTGGAGTAAGAAGGACTTTAGCCATAATCAACTAGGAAGTTAATGAATTTAAAAACATTACTTTCTGTAAATAAGCTAAAGTGATTAAAGTGAAAAAAATGGCTTACGACATTTGATGAACCTGATCTACAAGTAAGGAGAAAAGCTGAAAGACAGGACTCCATAGATTTCTTTAAGTGAGGATCATTAGTAGCGTCAGTTGAAAGAGCTAAGATCATATCCGATAGTTGTAGAAAATGCTTAGTAAACATGTCGTCCTGAGAAATCAAAATGAACGATAAGTATAAATAAAAAAAGAGATTGAAGATACCGTAATTCGACGAGTTATATATCCTCTGTAGAAGCTCTGTATAACAGTCGCTGCTCTCTCCAATCGTGCATTTTGCTTATTTTCAAAAAAACACAATTTGTTAATACATTTAAAAACGATTCAGGGAAAAATCTTTAATCAAAGAAGGCTTACCGCACGGGAACGACGTTCCTCTTGCATTTTTTGAACAATATTACTCTGTCCCGGCTGTAAAAATACCAAAGAAGCAAAATAAATTAAAAATTAAGAAACTTCAAAATTCTTACTTTTACCAACATTACATATCTTTAAAAAGGAAAATTTAGCATCCCATATAATAAATAAACTATTTTAGTTATTTATACAAATGGGCTATAAAATATAGCATTTACTATGTAGGGCGGTTGACGCCGAGATTTAAATCTTCCTTCGAAGGAGTACATTATGCGTTAGATTCGCTAAAGCAAAAGACAGGGAACATCAACCTCGATGACCAACAAAAAAGGCCCCTTAGTGTATTTGAAGCACGCGGACAAAAAAGATTCATCATAACACTCCAAATTTTGTCATTTATCACTGTGCTTATAAACGTTATTATTATTTCAAATGGCAGGATTCATTATATTTACCATTAGCTCTATGCTTCAATTTTATTCGAACTCCATCTCATGTAAATAACAATTCGATATATCTGATATATAGTATGCATAAATCGAATTTTCAATCATTATTAATGAGTGGGGTGTATCAACTAAGTCTTACTTATCAATTACTTTGATATTATTTTATACCAGTATATTTCAATGACTAATGTCGCTGTAAATAGAGTTTTTGTGTTATTTCCTTGATACCTAGTGTTTTTTTAAATAGATTGAATTTTAAATCACATGAAATTAATTTCTACGTGACGCATTCTAATACTGTACGCTTAAAATTTTACATAATTTCTTCTCTTTCATCCTGATAAAGCATATCCAAAGGCGACTGTTTTATATGTTACCTGGGAAGGTACCACTTTTTCAATCCACTTAATATTTGTCAATAAATTAGGTATGTGATAGCATATAGTTAAACTATTTAATCATCACGATGTTTTCATTGCTATTCCATTTCATTGTATTTCCTTGGCATTTAAGTTAGTGGGCTTCATTATTTGGCAATTGCGTTTTCATAACAAATAATATAATTCTGTCATTGTGCTAATCAACTTACTATTTAATTATCAGTAAGTTATAATCCAATTTGAATCTCTTGTGCAAGAATGCTTCCATTAACTTGGGTCAATATTTATAAAGGCCAATTTATCAAAATGAACAAGTTTTCTATGTTCTGCACACAGCTGTTTAACTGACATTCAACCCTAGCTATTCTTTCTTTTATAAACAATAGTTATAACTATCAGAGACATTAACAGTCGTCCCATCAGAACGTTTTGATTCAGAGAGTTTGAAGCACAACTTCTAAACACACACAGAAGAATAATTTGGATATAAATATCACAACTGCTGAGACATGAGCATTAATAAGCCTTGACTTATGATCAGTAATTTCTATTACTAATTCTCATAGTTTAGAAAGGCTCTCAAGATTACCTACCGCAAAGCATTGTTTTAAATACATTTATTTGGGAGATGTTGTGCTGGGGGTGCTTGGCTGTGTGCTGACTGACATGGAGCTTAGTCATTATATTAACTTCCGGGTGTGATAACAGCGTAAGGACTTTTTCTATCGATTGGTCTAGAGGTCTCCGTAAATGTGACCTCATTTGCTCTTTGACGTGATTGGCATCAAGTCAACTACATTATTAAGCGTTTGAGCTTCAGTTATGCTAACTTTGTTCCCCACATCACTCCCCCTCTTGTGGGTCAATAACATGCCAAAAATCAAAGAAAACGCTTGATAATTAGTTATTGTACATAATCGGTCAGTTGAGAGGCGAATATTACTCTTCTACGGCGACGAGTGTAAGAAGGTTTGGGTCGAGGTGCGAAAATGTTTAGTCTATAGAGGCTTTGTCTTGAGGGTCGACAATCATTTCACCAGGTGGCCTAAGAGTTATACCTAGTGCAAGTTCTGCAGGGCAGCATCCAATGACCTCCATGCCTTCCAATGTCGTGTTTATTATGACGATTAGAATGATAGGCTGGTGTTCAATCAATTTAATTCAGGAAAAGTCGCTATTATAGAATATTTAAGCTGTCGACCATTGGCTCCTAGGTGATATACCGTAGTGTTAGTTCCATACGGGGCATTCCGACGACAGCAATATTACTAATGCCGTCAACATGTAGGCTTTTGTTGGTGAATAGCAAAACAAAGTCTCTAAGACGAATTTTCTTGAAGGAATAGTGGTCTGAGGATTTTTGAATAGTTTAAATGAAGAGTTTTGGATCAGTGAAAGTGGTGATTTTCCATCTTTCCAAAGTGAATCATGCACCCAATGGAGGTTTCAAAATGATTTAATATGGTCTCTGCGACAAACTCTGATTCAATTACTGGGGTCATCTTGAAATGCTTCGGGTTACCCTTAAGAAGGCCTCTGAGGGAATGTAGAGTTTAAGCGAAATTAAGGATGGATCGTTCATAATAATTTACTTCGTTTAGGATACGACGAGGACTTTTCATCGATTGAAGGATCGGTGGCATACGATTGATAGAGTTTTCCCGGACAAAGATGAAATTCCGCAAGGACTGCTGTGATAGCCGAATATGCACTTCACGGGGTTTATCATGATTCAGTATTGGTCTAGACGTTCGAACATCTGCCGAAGATGCCGTTTGTGTTCCTAGAGTTGGAGCTGGCGATAAGCACATCGTCAATATATGCACAAGCAAATCTAAACCACGAAAAATCATCGTCCATAAATCGATGAAATGATTGTGTCACTTTTTGTAGACCGAAAAGCATAATTGTGTACTCGAACAAGCCGAATAGCGTGATAACGGGCTGACCCTTTGTAATAATATGACGACAAACCAAAATATCGGAGTGGACATGGAGTGGAAACTCAGGTAAATGTTGAAGAAGGAATTGTTGGCTGGTTGGAAGAGAGTCAGCCCAAATGGATTTAAGACATCTGTAGAAAAAATGACTTGAAGAGAGATAAAATTACCAAGAAAGGTGTGGTCTCTGAGATTGACACGTTAGCAAAATTTATAGAGAGAAAATCAGCACCGATGATAGGTTTTGATACGTCAGTTATTAGAAAGACAAATGGAAATTCTCAGAGAAGTCCTAAATTGGCGTTGAGGTGGCCTTTTGGCCATAAGTGTTCTCCGTCTGAAGGGAAAAAGCATTTTTCTGCTGAAAAAGGGATCACACTGACTTCGAAACCAGTGTCAACGTACTATTTGAGTTTAGAATTTCTGTTGACTACATTGAGGAGGCGCCTAGGATCAGTCATGGCTCTTACTTCCAGGCGTTGAATTTTTCCCAGGAGCCGGTCGTTTAGGTCTTGGACAAGTTGCAACTTGGATGGCATTCCTTAGTATCTTCCGCATAAGTTCTGTGATGGTGGCAGATTTGATTTCGGAATCCCTTTGGAAACAAATACCATCGTCTGCCGCAAAGGCATGAAATGCCCGATACTTGAAGCTCTAGGTTTTTAGTCATTCAGTGATGGCGTCCATTTGATACTACGTGGTGACAACGGAGACTGAAGTTTTTACTACATTAATATCTGGTCTGCCGTGAAGTGCGTGAATGTGAACTGCCATTTCAGCTAATTCGTCAAGATTGTCTTATTGTTGCTGGTCGTTAACGTTTACCGGGAAGGAAAGGGGGGAGGGGGCATTTCATCCACAATCTTTAAGAATTTTATCATTCGAACGCATGTGGCGTAAAAGCTGAGAAGGGGTGTGAACATCTTAATCGACTAGCAAGAAAAGTTGTTGAAGTCGGTTTTCCTGAGAAACAGAGAGACGACTCAAAACAGCTCTTCTGACTACTTCAAACCCGTTGCCCTCTGGCTCCTAGGTGATGATGTTCAAGACCAGTGTCCATACTCACTTTCATGCGTGGGGTGCTAGTTAGGATTAAAAATCCAGGCCTAAATGTGCCAGCTTTGTGGCCAATATTCACTTAAATGACAGGAAAATTTTACAGTTAAATTATTTCCCATTACATTACCTCCTTAACTTTTTCTTACTCGTTTTTATTCCATTTCCTAATTATTCGAAATGGGAAGAAAATTATTTTTTTATATTTGCATTTTTCTTTCAAAAATTTAATACGGAGTTGTATATTAGCAAAAAAGTCCTCGAAAATTTCAATATTGGTCACATTATTCCCACGTGGGGAAACTAAGAAGTACGACGGGTGTATCTGGGACAAGTCAGCCCTCTCCCATTACTAACATTGTATTTATATTTATATCAAATGGTAGGCGTTTTGATAGTTATCATTAGCCCTTTAGCTGACTTCAGGCTTCACAGAGAGGAGGAGGAACATCATAATGACAAAAAGTCGAGAGGGGGGGGGACAGAAGAGTGTTACAAAGATGTGAAAGAGACAGTCACAAAGGTAGAAAAAAGGTGAGGTGAGTACTGTGAAAGTGGTTGAATTTGACATACAGTGGGGTCATGTTAGTTTGAGGTCAGAAATCAACTGCCAGTAAATAGACTTTTTTTGCCGTATGAGAATACGTTACCCAGAGTGCACCACGTGGAGGTAAGTCTATCCCACACCCCCACCCCCATTACTAACATTGTTTAACATTCTAAAATTAACTTCAACCCTATTGTTGTATTAACAGAAGCATAAGCGTCCATTTCTAAATTTGTAATAATAATAAAATGAAGTTAACTTGTCTTATTGTTCAGACTACCAAACTTATTTCCTGTGTTAGTTTATAAAGCCTATGCTTAAGCACCTCCTGTTTCTTTGCAACCCTTAAACTCATGCTGATGGATGAGATTGTTAAATAATTTTATAGCCTTAGGTCATTAATGATTCATCATCATTTAGGTCAAATTTAGTTATGTCTCTGTTTCACCACCAACAGCCGGGGGGGGGGGGGAAGGGAAGAGTTGATTTTGATGTTTTAAAGATAATCCCACTGTGTACTACTATCTACAGAAGGCTTAAAAAACTCACATCTTCTCATCATCATCTTGAGTAGTCTTAATGTTCTAAAGTGCACGAACCAATTAGTAGACTATGAAATCCGACAGCAAAGAAAGCGGGTGATCAAACTACAAGGAATTCACTAATAGATGTTTAGATTGGCAAGGCCTCATGTCCTAATCGTAAAAATATAAGATTGTGGAGTGCGAGAGACTTACCTCCAAGTGGTGCACCCTGGGCAACTTATACTCATGCGGCAAAAGAGTCTATAAACCGGCAGTTGACCTCAAACTTCCATGACCCGACTGTATGTCATACTCGACCACTTCCACAGTACTTATCTTACCTTTCTCTGCCACTGCGTCTGTCTGTCTTTTTTACATCTGTGAGCCACTCCTCTGTCCCCCCTCTCCACTTTCTCTCACTTTGATGTTCCCCCCCTCTGTGAAGCCCGAAGTCAGCTAAAGGGCTAATGATACCCTCTGTGAAGCCCGAAGTCAGCTAAAGGGCTAATGATAGACTATCAAAGCGCCTGCCATTTGAAATAAATAAATATTATTTGTGTCATAAAGCCCGTCATTTGAAATATAAATATAAGATTGTTATACTAACACGAGTAAACTGCGTACCCGAAAATTCTGTAAAGTGCAGCCGTACGTGCGATGGACCTGTCAGCTAGTCAGCTATTAAGGTTCATTCAAGTTGTGTTAAATGAATTCGATTACCAATCCTGCTTGCTGTGATCGTAATTCGATACTTTTAATAAACTCTGTACTCGCGATACGTCTGCTTCTTTTATCTCATAGAGATAGATTAATTAATTCTTAGACCCTGTCCCTAATAAGATCCTTTGCCATAGAGATCTCTAAGGGTTAGTCAAGGCTCATTCGCGCAGCCATTGGCTAAAAGATCAACAGTAGAGTCCTGAAGGATTTTAAAATCATTTGGCGAAAAGCTGTGTAAAAGTACAAATATTAAACAGCCGTATTTCCTATTGTCCTTTCAATGCTGTTGTATTAGTAAAACAATAGTCATTTAAAATCTAATTTTATTATAGATTTTCGTTGTATCTACTCATTTTTATGGAAATAACTCGTTGCCAGCAATTCATTATGCCAATACATGATCTAACTGAATCAGGAAACTGGAAATGTTATTAAACAAAATAAATCATGTAATCGAATTTATTAGAATATTTTATTTTAATCATAAAAGCCTTTGAAGAGCGAAAACAGGTAGATTTACAATTGTTCACTGCGTTTAAACCACTTAAAAAAGAGATCATGTTTATTTTTAAGAACTTTTCTTACATACAAATGCATGCCAGCAAGCAACCTGTTATTTACAAGTTCAAAAATTGGTATTGTATGTGCGTATGTATGTTTAAAACTAAGTGCAAGTAATTCACTAAACTGTTGAGTATTCGAGGTAATCCCAGTATGTACACCAGCTCGACTCATTGATAAGTAGTGGTTTTTTTGACAGTTCAGATTTGTTTTTTTTATCCTAATCACCAAGTTGAACATCTGCCCGTAGACTCAAGCGATCCTCCACTTCATCAACTTCGGGAGTTGCTACGAGATTACACCGTCGTTCTTCTTCCAGGTAAACACGATTGCCTTCAACCATCACGGCCACAACATAGTCAAGTAGAGTTTGCCAAGAATTTGCAACATCTTCTGTAAATTCCTCTCCCAACAGACCCTCCCACGTTGTTAGAGTTGCTCGTTTGAGGACCTTGAGACGAGAAAAGAACGATTTGCGTAATTTAAAACTCTTTAAAATTTATTATTCTTGCTATTTTTAAATGCATAATTCTTTAACGCCGAATAATTATTTTTTGAAAAATATACCAAAGTTAACTCACGCCTATCTTACAGCAGCTTGATGTCACCGACGTGATGAGTTTTGATGGTGTATCAGACGAAGGCTACAGACACGTATTGAACATGTTTCCAACGCCTATATCACCTTCTGTTACGAGTCTAGTATTAATGGAGCTTATTTTGAAAGATGACTGTACTGCCTCATTTGCGTTGAAAGGTTAAAATCAGACTGTACATTGTGGAAATGGTTTTTTTCAAATTAATGATGCTCTCATTTATCATTTGCTTTCAGAGTTGTGAAATAGCCAAAGCGATAATCTGTTTTTACTTCCGATTGCACTCTTGTAATTTAAATCACTACATGCATTCACTGTTTCCACTTAAATAGACTGGCTAATGTGCCTTTCCCTGTCATTAATTAAGGCAAGAAGGCGATAGGGTGCAGCCCTTCCCCTCGTGAACAAAATTTTTTAAGCAACTTAAAAACCTAAAACGCCTTTCTAACAATTTTTGTCTCCTGAATTGCTTTTTTACGTTGTGGTGAAATTTGCAAATACTTCCCACTATTTTTTGTTATTTTTTTTCATGATAAGGCCACTGAACAGGGATCGTAATATGCCCTCTATCTATCGACGTCTATGATTCGTCTTTCTTTCAAACACCTGGAGATTCCATTCAGTGGATAGAAAATTACCCATCTAAAATCAGAAATAATGTGCATATTCACATATGCTAGCTAACAGTGGAAACATTTACAAAGTTGCTTATTTTCTTGTTTGCTTTTTTACTTGACCACAACCGGAATTGTAATTGAACTGAAAGTCGCTCATGTTTCAAGTATCTCATGCGGTGAAATGACGTCAGACAAATAAAAGTACCTGAAAAAACCATTCAACTTGTTGGTTAATCATAAATGTCATCATATTGGCAGAGCCATACAACAGGACTCGAAGTCTTAGAGATCTAGCCTCCTTTAAGCAAAATTCATTGGCATCGCTTTTGATAGGGGAAAATGTAAAAAACAGACATAATCCGAACACATAGCTGACATACTCAAACTATTAAGAAAAACAAACTCATTACTCTATTGAAAAATGCGGAAATGCTTATCGTAGAACTTTGCTCCAGTGGTATTATCATCCACTGTAGTTGCAATTCCACCGCTTGTTCAAAGAGCATGCAGAGGTGAAAGCATTCCAAGTTACCCTTAATGAGAGGTTCAAGAAAAATATCCTGCCAAAAGGGGCAGAAATACAAATAGGCCTTCCTCTAGCAGGATCGGAATGTCAGTAAAAAAATTATTGGTGAATATTTGTCGATTTCCGGTATGCCAAGGAATCTGTCCAACAAAAAATAGCCGGATTACTACAGATCGACGAAGTTGAGAAACCCATATCCCCCCGTGGTCTAGCAGAAATCGTAGATTGATTAGTGAATGTTCGTCCTCAACACTAACAGCGCTATTATAAGCATCCAAAGTGAATGATACGAAAAGAATCCGGCTTTACTGGCCAGATGGGTGAACTCAGAGCCTATTTTAGAACACTTGACCTGCTCAGACCAAGACAGAGATCATGATCAAAGAATTCCAGGTGGAGCTTTAAGGTCAACTTAGCAAATGCTGATGTCACTACCATAAGCGTTTTGTTAAGAGAAACACAATTTTCGCTAAATCACACCGGTTAGTAAAAATGGCCAGACAGTAAATAATGGCGATGTTGCTTCATGGCCAGAAAGGCAAATCTTATCGTGATTTCCCCATCCTTGACTCTTTTTATCGATGATTTAAGTGCCTTTTCTTATCTCTGTCCCTGAAACAAAACGTTCCCATTTCTACCCACTAAGGCACTTACAGTTCCAGAAAAATAGGAGATAGGAAGACCTATTTTTCTGGTTTTCCATCGTGCCTAAAGTGGCAGTTCTTCCAATTGGAAAAAAGCTCATTCCCTTTCCAATTTGACTGTTAAACAAGTCCTTCCACATACGGAAGATGATTAGATGTGATGGGAGTCTGGCAAAACAAAGCTCGCATTCACGGTCTGTGCATTTTTTTCTCGGGTATATTAATTCTCGCAGATAGACTCTATGTGTCCTCCGATCTTATCAAGACATGGCAGAGATTACTTACAATAGCGTGGTAGTTATTTGGGCCTTATAATGTTTAAATCGGGGTGTGTGCGATAGACTTACTTCCACGTGGTGCACCTTGGGCAACGTATACTCATGCGGCAAAAAGTCTATTAATCAGCAGTTGACTTCTCACTTCAAACCACCATGACCTCACTGTACGTCATATTCGACCACTTCCACAATTCTCACCTCAACTTTTCTCTACCTTTATGTCTGTCTGTCTCTTTTACATCTGTGGATCTCTTTTCTGTTCCCACTCTCGACCTTTTTGTCACTTTGATGTTCCTCCTCTCCCTCTCTATGAATCCCAAAGTCAGCTACAGGGCTAATGATAGCTGTCAAACCGCCTGTCATTTGAAATAAATATATGTTGATTAACACAATTAAGTAAATATTGCGTGATCCTTAATGTCTCAATTCAGCCTTCTCTCCCCCCTCCTCTCACCACCACATTCAGAATGGACATTGTCTGGGACCGTTTCATCTTAAGGAATTCATATCCATTTACTCACCGCCACACTCATCCCTCTATTCTGACCCTCCGCTGTCAATAGAGTTACTTATTGTAACTATCTTCGCTTTTGTCCGGTTTGCCATAATGATAGTTTGCATAGACTGAGGAAGAACTGTGCAAAGATAAAACACTTTAATGTCTAGACTAACCTTCTGAAGATCTAAGGAATCCAAATACTTTGCAAATTCAAATTATGCTGCAAGTGAGCTCTCTTTTTTTAATTCCTTTCCGATAAAATTTGCTTTACGTCCCTAAGAGTCAATGAAAAAAAACCATAAAGAAAGCACTACCAAAGCCAAAGCTGAGTTATATCAAATAAAAACAGAAAGGTGGTTTTCTTTTAACTCAATCAATCGTGTCTGAATGTTCCAACAAATTTGATTTCCTTCTCTCCTAGGGTAACATCGATCAGGACGACTAATGGAATATTTTCGCTGCACTGGGGAAAAAATTGGCAGTTTTCATTTCTCATGCTCTGAATTGTTAATTACTGGATTCTCACATTCTTACCCGAACATGAGAGACCGCCTGTAAAGAAGCCGTCACCGCAGCTATTGGTTGCCCAAGCAACCAATCATCTATCGCACATTCAAGTCATTATAAGTCGATTTATTTCACCAATAAACTAACGGTCGTTTTTTTTCCCTCCTCTGCGTCTGAGTAGCTGTAGCGTTAATAAATGATAACTGAGGCGTTACAAAATTTCAATCCGCAAAGAAACATTGGCAATAAATTAAAAGCATCCTTTCGGCAATTGCATGTGATTGTGTGCTTGAGGGGATTTTAATTCTGAACGATTTTACGTATAGTACTCAAATATGAATGCGCATATAAGCCTCCCAAACTAAAAATATCTTGTTTGTGAGTGTTTTGCATAACACAAGAATGGTTGAACCGTTGCAAATCAGAAATCTTATTATAGGTTAAGGTAAACATTTTACTCGTCTAATCTGTCTGTGTTAGACTGTAAGAAAGTTGCGATTAAGTCGAGGTAATATGATCAATCAGTAAATGAACACGAAATATCGTGAACCTGGGAGGAAAATAATGGGAATTGAACGTTAAGGTACTGCTAAATTGACACTTGCTCCAATTAAGAATGTCGAAAAATCAGTGCTCGGAAATGCGATAAGAGTATGACTCGTGATACTCTTGCTTCGAAACCCAATTCTTCTTGACGCTATCTAAATTTACATTTTTATAGAATATGCTATTCCGTGCTACGAGCAATACGAACTTCATCAAACAGGTTAGAATTCTCTAGCTTGATAATAAGAGAGGAAATTATAACTTAGATAACTGGGGTGTGCGATAGACTTGCCTTCACGTGGTGCACCCTGGGCAACGTATTCTCATAGGGGAAAAAAGTCTATTAACTGGCAGTTGACCTCTGACTTCAAACTACTATGGCCTAACTGGATGTCATCTTCGACCACTTTCACAGTAGTTATCTTGCATTTTCTCTGCTTTTGCGTCTGTTTGTCACTTACATCTGTGAATCACTCTTCTGTTACCCACCCCTTGACTTTGTGTTACCTCTCCTATATGAAGCCTGAAGTCAGCTAAAGGACTAAGGATAACTTTCAAAACGCCTGCCATTTGATGCAAATAACTTAGGTAACTTAGGCAGATAAACTCCATTAATGACGAATATATGCAAGAGAGTGTAAATAGTATTTTTACAATAACATCGAAAAGAGAGCATTCGCTTTGACTCAACCAATTTTTCACTCCAAATTGATGGCCAAGCAGTTGTGCACCTATTTGCCATTCAACCTGACTTAATAAATAAACAATGCTTATTCAAAAAGCCCAAGATACATCAGCTTGTTTTGTTAATGCACCCAATTTTCTATAAACGAACAAATGTCTTTTTCTAGATGTCAACGCATCAATCAATCAACCTTAATGTCCAGTACCCTTCAGTTCCAATCAGCGTACTCTATGAGAAAATGTGGGGAAGTCAGCGAATTTTTCACCATTCTCAAATTGCATTGTTTGATTATTGTGAACCAAATTCGCTACTTCATTTGTTTAATATTTGAATAAAAAATATCCTATCTTCACTTCTTGACTTTTCGGCTGGGTTACAATTTGACAACAGGAAGTAACGTCTGAAGATAATAACCATGATAACACTAGTTCTGAAATAAGTAAATGAAGGGAATTGTCTGAGTTTGTCGAAAACGAAATGATAAGCAACTTTCTCCATTTGTCAAATCTTATTAAAAGTTTGCTCGCCCACACCTCCCACCCCCCCCCCCAGCCCTCTCCCTGTTTTCTTGGTTGAGGGCTTTTCCAAGAAATAATTCCAGCGTTAAAGCCTTAAGGTCTACTCTGGGTTCCATTGCCCATTTCTCCTTTCTACACTTTATATCTCACTCACTCAAATTCAATGAACTTTTCTTATTACGGTTGTTGATAGGGGTTAATTCGCAGTTCTTTGATCGGGTAGATCTTTTTAAACGGCAGCTTACCTTAAAAAATTCGGGTTTCATTTGTGGAATAGTGGCATGACTAGCTCCAGCAATGAGAACGGAGTCGTAGAAGCCTTCTTGGGGATCTTCAAGTGATCTAATTGCTTCGTCAATCAAGGTTATGTAGGTTTGACTGTATTGCAATGCGCAGGAACTAACCACCAATTCATCATCATCGTTGAATCTACCATAGAAATGACAATCATTATACAGGTAACCCAGAGCAAATGCAAATTAGAGAGGAAGGGAGAGGGGAATTTGAAAAAAAAGAATAAACAGGAAAGTTGAGTTGTTAGACAATGCATAGAATGCAAAACAAAAACAAATAGCGCAAATATTCTTCCCCAAAACAACAACGAATTGAAAAAGACAATGGAAATTTATAAATAAACTCCTTTGGGAAATCATATGTTCATACTTCTGCTACTTTAATTCCCCTTGGAGTAAACCCTTTGTTTTAACTAACCAAATTTAAAAGTTTCAAGTTTTTTTCACCTATTATTGGAATTCAAATTTGTTAGCCTTATACTCAGTGAAATCGGGGATTTTAGGCTCTTAGGAGGTAAATGTTGACATAAATGCAGAACAATAAGTATTAGTTCCCAGTTTAGGGCCTATTTCAACTAAGCAAATGCTTTGGGTCTTGCAATAAGACTTAATTTTATTGGAAGCGAATGCACTATCTAGATTGTAGAAATAGTTGAGGGACAATTTATTGCCCAAATTCAGTTACTTGAATCGATTGAACTTTAGGAATAATAATAAAGTAAGGCCCTTGACAACGGGCTCTATTTTATTGTCGCTTTGCGGAAAAAAAGTGGTTAATGATTCATCAACCATTTTATGCAAATCGTTAGTTGCCCTTTTGCGAGCTAGCAGAAGAAAAAAGGCTAACTCATCTATCCTTTGTGCAATGATGAACAAGATAATATAATATGGTACTATTTCATACACACCTAAGTCTGCGATGATATGGAAGTGAATCAATGTGGCAAATTCAATCACTCAAATGGCCAGGAATAGATGAATAAAGTTGATATGAACTCAGTCAAATATTTTCGCCTCAAAGCATAAAATTGGGCTTTTTCAAAATCTGTCTTTATGAAGTCAGTTACACATTTTGTAGGAAATTAAGTAAGCTGATGAGTTCAATATTTCAATAAAAGGGTGTGCGATGGACTTACCTCCACGTGGTGCACCCTGGGCAAAGTATTCTCACAGGTCAAAAAAAGTCTATTAACGCGCAGTCAACTTCTCATTTCAAACTACAATTGGCCCACTGTATGTCGTATTCGACTACCTCCACAGTACTCAGCTCACATTTTTCTACCCTTGTGTCTGTCGCTTTTACATCTTTGGAACACTTTTCTGTCCCCTCCCCCTCTCGACTTTTTTCCCTTCGATGTTCCTTCCTCTCTGTGTAGCTTCAAGTCAACTAAAGGGTTAATGATAACCATCAAGGCGCCTGCCATTTGATATAAATAAATAAATATTTAAATAAAGTAAGAATAGCGTTAATCGGACTTCATTGAATGCACCAATTTGACCACCGTTTCATTTCTCAACGGTCAGTTGTTTCACCCGACATATTTTATAACCCATCGGCTCTTTACCTAATTTTCAGTCCCATAACTAATGCTAATAATAATAATAATAATAATAATATAGACCATCAATTAGATTAGCAAACTAAATACATAATTTCTGATTGAATCATAGAGGCTGCTAAGATTCACAAAATAGAAATATAGCCCAGTACATTTTTTTCTCAACAATTTTGCATTTTTTTACCTCACTTAAATGCGACATCACTGGTTGTGCAAAACTTTAAACAACATTTTTTATTTATTTTGAAATAGTTTTTACTTAAAAGTTGAAACTCATTAGTCAGCCTAAGTGTGAGAGCAAAACTTGGCTGAAAGGTTCACCTGAGACATCCTTGAGAAAAAGGATAAAGTACAATAACTTAGTAGAAAATTAGAACAAAAATTTGTTGAAATTTAAGCCTTTTTGGGGAGTCGAAGAGTTTAAATTTGTATTTTGCTGATTGCTCCTATTGAAGCAATCAAGACTGGCGAACATTAAAACGAGAACCCATATTAATTTTTAACAAAATACTGTTAGGTCAATCGATTACTTTAATGAATAGCATCTCTGGCTTTATTTACCGGTGTCCCAGTGCTCAAATGAAGAGAAGATGAAATAGCAATCATAAAATACATGCTTTCCATTGGGGTTGGTTGGTGCTTCTGCTCTGACACAAATGTTCCCCCCCCCCCCCCCCCCCCCACTATTCTTTCCCAGTTGGGTGAAGAAAACCAGGATACTTTTACCACAGTATGACCCAAAATTATTAACCCATAGTGAACCCTACTGGCTTATGAACTGCATAAAAGCTCTTCTGATCAGTTAAAAAAGGTCGGAATAGTTTAGGACACAGCAATAGTGCACTTTGAATATTTACCAAACATCAAGGACTCAAAATTGGTTAAATATCATTTGCAGTTAACTTCAAATATCCATAAGGGTATGCATTTATTTGAAATATACAATTGGAAGTGCTTTCTCTTCCATCTGAACGGTTGTCTCACTATTAAATATTACAATGCCGATAGAGACAATCATCAATTTTACCGCCTCTCTTAAGATAAAATTGAATTGATCAAATTTGTGCATTTCAAGAGAGATAATAATATTATGTTAAGGTCAATTCCAATGAGAGGAAAATTGGGGAAATCGATAGAAGGTAAGCTAAGTATGTACTTGACAATTAAAAAGGAACTTTTGGCCCAGTTTTGGCCAAAATGAACGCTTGCGCATTTGCTAGTTTATCCCAAAATATTAGCCCTTAAGTTAAAATTGTCTAAAATATATAGTCTTGATATATCGCAAAAGTTCTTTAAAGTATCAGATCCAGTCAGCTATGGTGAAACCTTTCGATCGATTAAGCATTTTCAGATATATTGATTTCGTAGTGGGAAGGAACAAATATTTAAAATAAAAACTTTTTTAAGTTATGCCACAACAAGCCGTTATATGATATCAGGCAAATGATGTCGTTGCGTTTCTACTAATTTTAATACAAGATTAATTCACGCTCGGCATAACACATTCATTTTGAATTTCACCTCACAAAATTTCAAATTTTAAATTTATTTAACTATAAATTTACCGGCATTGGAAAAGATATGTAAATTATCGATATTTTCAAAAATTTACCCTTAAAATAAAAATGCATAAAATGTGATTTTCCACTAAGATGCAAATTTTTCTGAAAGTTTAAATTTAAAATTAAAAGAGGGAACAAATTTGAATTTTTTTGAAAATGAATTAAAGTTGACATAAAAATAATAACTTCTCAAAACCCGATTTCGGTGTTATAAAAGCGAATTGAGAAGAGGACTTACTCAACGTTGTAGGCTGCTTTCAATTCAGGGCACATCTCGGCAGCTAATCGAAAAATGAATGCTCCGTGTTCATGGGTATAGAGTAGAAGAGCCTCCCAAGTTGAAATGAGAACGTCTTTCTCAAACTCGGAGAAGTATTCATTTAGTGGCTGACGCTTGACAACCGCTGCGTGTTCCACTTGTTCTGTTGTTCTCTGTCGTGTGAGGGACCGTCTGGATGAGAGGAGGAGACTCCCTCGGCGCTCTGTGGAAGAATGCGAAGCCACAGAGGAAATACTTCCGCCGACAATTTTTGACACTGACGATGAGGAATTACAGTAGGATGAAGTGGAATTGCCCCGTGGTGATTTGGGTCGAGTTGAGCCAAGATTACCTTTGCTATTATGCTGATTGTTCAAGTGGTGACCACTAAATTCACAACCCATTTGAGAGAGAGACTTCAATTTATCAATGGTTGATGGGAGGATAAAATGAAATTTGGTGTTTAAACTCCAGTATTATCTTTAAACTGTCTGCCCATTTTGATTGGAGGGGAAGTGTGGCTAATCAGAGGACAGCTGCAAGCGCTTCTCATGGAACGCTTTGCCAGATAAGAGCATTTTTTGTGGGCAAAACGGCATCGCACTCGGGTTTTTTTGGAGGTAAAAGCATGACAGACGATAAGAACAAAAAAGAGTATACGCTGTGTTTATCAAATATGAAATTGTTGTGAAAATAAAATAGGGGACTTTTAGGAGATCTGATTTTGCACAAAATGATTTTTATTTACAATATTTAATAAAAAAAGCACGGCTGTCAAAAAAGAAAGTAAAGATTATTTTCTGCTATTTACTACGTATTTACTCCAAAAAATTGAATTATTTACCAAATATTCACTAATTGATCTTTATAAAGTTTGAATGTATTCCTTTAAATTTTAATAAGCAATTCGTTCTGCTTTGTGGTTAAAATTAATCACGTGAGTCACGCCGAATTTAAAGATAAAATCGATAATTACCAGATAATTTACCGCAATTTCCTTATAGTAATTGTATTAAGCAAGTCGAAAATCGCTTTTTTTAGATTTTTAACTAAATAAATTTGCTTGAGTTTTAAGTGGAATGAAGTCTAGTTAGTTATACCGTGTACTTGCTGACAATCGTAGTTGTCATTACCGTTAAGTGAGTTTACTCAATTGCACAAATTCGCTTTGAAGATATTGGAAAGAAATTGAAAAATTTAATTCAATTCAACGTGGGTGGGCGTTTTTACTCAAAGTGGAGTGGAGTTTATTCACAAGCTAGTTTGTGCTATTTATGCAGTAAACTTTAAATCTCGAATCGCGTACATGTGGGCCAATGTCAGCCCTGTTCTCGTTGTCAACATGATGATGATGATGAATGCACTCGGCTTTCCCTTCTGAGAAGTTCATGTGGAGCGCGAGGACTTTTTAGGTATTTTTGAAGTTAATTTATTGCTAGTATGTGAGGATAAATGGTCGCTTTTCTCTCTCGCTCTCTCTCTTAAATAAAATGAGTTGAATGGTGATGAGGAATAACGTAAGAGTTAAAAATTAGGCCAAATAATTATTACCAAATATCAGCGGAAAGCATTTACTGCTGTTTTACAAAACGAAGTATGAAATTTGGAAGCTGGAACGCGATAGTACCCATTTACTAATTTTTCTTCCAACTAAATTCAAAATTTTCATGAATTGAGACCATTTGATGAGCTGAAGTAACTCTTAAAAACTGCTACATTTTTCTCCCTTTTAAATTTGTTGATAGTTCTCGGTTGCTCCACTCCTCTTCCCCCCCCCCCACCACAATTAACAGGTTCATATTTTATTATTGCGAATGAATATCAATATTAATGAATAACTTCTCAATGCTCCTGTGCGTACCAATTAGTTTTTGAATCATGGAGAGGCGAGGAAGGGGGTGGTGGTTTAGGAAGAGATCAAATACTAATCAAAATAACCAATATTACTTATTATTATCACCAGTTTCATAACAAACAAAAGGTTTAACATAAGAAGTCAAAAGATCTTCTATTTGCAAATTTAATACTTTTTAGAGAAATTATTAAATTGAGCTCTTATGTGTAATTTTTGCATAATGTCCTAGTTGAGTCTTATATTTTGATAAGAAAAATAATTGTCCATTTTCTGTTGACCAGCAGATTTTGCAAAAGAATATGTAAGTTTTTTCAAATGTGTAAAGAGGATAAATATTCATTCATTTTAGAAAAAATATGAATAATATCAATCATTGATTTCATTTTTTTGTCAGAGGCCATTTCTATTGTTGCTATTATTGCTGCAATGAAACCATTAATTTTTAATTATCTCATATGGAACTAAAAAAGACGAATGGGTTAATAAAGCCCATTAAAATTTAAATATGATTGACTCAAAATAGTTCACTATTAATATTTAATACCATAGGCACTTAAAAATCAAAATTGAGTTGACCATTTCGCTAACTATTTAAAAAAAAACATATAAAGACAATTCAATGATAACTCTCTAAGAATTCTAAAATACTTAATATCTCACTGTTGAAAAGGTAGTATTTTGGATGAAAATAATACGGGTCTTAGGATTTTGGTCATTCAGTCATTAAAATTTAATTTCATCAAACATCCACTTAAATATCCAAAATATTTATTTTATTTATTTATATCAAATGGTAAGTGTCTTGAAGATTATCATTAGCCCTTTAGTTGACTTCAGGCTTCACAGAGGGGAAGGAACATCAAATTGAAAAACGTCGAGAGGGGAGAACAGAAGAGTGTTTCAAAGATGTAAGAGACAAACACAAAGGTAGAACAAAGGTAAGGTGAGTACTGTGAAGTATTTGAATATGGCATTGAGTGAGGTGATGGTAGTTTGAAGTGACAAGTTAACTGCCAGTCAATAGACTCTTTTGCCGTATGAATATACGTTGCCCAGGGTGTTTGTTTGCCGTATGAGTATACGTTGCCCAGGGTGCACCACGTGATAGACTTACTTGCCGTATGAGTACACGTTGCCCAGGGTGCACCACGTGGTGCCTTATGAGTATACGTTGCCCAGGGTGCACCACGTGGAGCCGTATGAATATACGTTGCCCAGGGTGCACCACGTGGAGATAAGAATAACTCATAATGAAATATCTACTGGTCTCATAAATATAGTGAATATATACTTATATCAAATGACAGACTTTACGATGGTTGTCATTAGTCTTTTAATTGACTTCGGGCTTCACAGTGGGTAGAAACATCAAAGCCACACGAAATCGAGGAGTGATTCACACATGCAAAAGAAACAAGCCGTCACAAAAGTTTGATGAGTATTGTGGAGGTGGTCGAATATGATATGTAGTTATGTCATGATAGTTCGTTGTCAGAAGTCAACTGCCGCTTTATTGACTATTTTCCGTAGGCGTATACGTTATTACTGAATGTAAATTGATGAGCCGATTCACATTTTAATGGTTATATACTCAAATCACATATTCAATATTACTGACAACTCTAATTCTCCCCCATTTTAACCATAAACTATTAATCTTATTTGCGTGCATGAGTAGTTCAGACCATCTTCGTGGTGACGAAAATGAGTCAACAAGCAGAATATGTGTTGAAAGCACAAACCATATAAACTCTATATTCCAAAAATGAAATTTATGAGACCAGACAGTTTCTATAGTGATTTTTATAGTGTTTTTGAATCCTGGTCGTTTAAGGAGGCAGATATTTCTCTAGCCGCTGAAATTTATCATTATGACTATTTAGATTCAGTCAATCAGTCAAACATTATCCACAAAATTGACTTACAAGGAGGAAGGTGAGGTAGTTCTAAATATATTTAAATCAATGCAACGGTAACCGGTAGCCACGAGCCAACTTCGCAAGGTAAATGTTGCTACTTAAATTGAGTTAATAATTGAAATAAATAACTGAATAAGCTTTTTATAATTTAAGGGGAATAAAAAGGTACCATTGCATGCCTATATCATTGATAAAAACAAAATGTAAAACTATTTTCATTATTTCACTTTTAGAAGGGTTCACAAAGAGGAGTGTTTTAACGCGTTAGAAAACGTTAAAAACCTTACAATATCATGTACTTAAAACTTAAAATTTAAAAGATTTGTGTTTCTTTAAGGTAAGCTCAAAGTGTCAACCTATTGAAAGGGTTCCAATTAAGCATTCATAGTAATCACGTGACATCGATTTTCAGGTAAATTGTATTCTTGAGTTTAATTCAATCTAAATCAAAGTAGTACTTCAATTATTGAGTACATTTCATATAATTTCATCATGCGATTGACGATTTTAGCAAGAAAATTTTAGTTACTGATCAATTAAAACAGAATGACAGAATTAAATTCATCAAATTAAATAGCTTGATTGAACTTCAAAATTTCAATTCTACTATTGTTTGCCAAACACGCACTTTATGATACCATAAATATATTTCGACTGAGCAAATTAACTTTAACCAATTTTGGCTTATTAATTTAAAATTATAAAGAGCAAGTGGCAAGAACTCGTGAAGAGAAATAAGATATTTTTGAAATAAATTTTTTTCTGTCAATCATTGTTTTAAATGACATTAATAGTAATCATAAATAAGTGGACTATCTAAATCTCAATGAGCCCTTTAATTTAACCTTGCAAGTCTCTTGTCAGCTATGTAGCTTTTCAAAGCATTTTAAATATTAAATATCGTTTAATGTCAATTATAATTAAATCTTATAAAATCTTCCAGGGCAGTGCGTACGTTAATTCCGATTTAGAGCAACAAACCATTTATACGCTTCTAATAAAATATAATTTTATTATGGTCAGTTTAAGAGCTTCTCATGATGATTAATAGATGGTACATTAAATTAAGTCGACGGATTGGATTATTTGGAAACAACGTGACAAAAAAGTACAATAAGCAGAAACGGGAGAACAAATATATCATCGAAATTTCCTCACTTTTTCTGATAGGCATCTTTTATGCAATGCATTTATCAATAAGTTGACACTCATACGTACTGCGATGAACAGTGAACAGTGGTGTTCTCCAAGTCGCCTATTGTCAAAATTTATTAATATTTACTGAAGTATTAGTCTTTCAAGGAACATAAGACATACCATCTATAAATTGTTGTGCGAAAGTCAACAACTTGATTGTGAACCATAGCAATACTTTGCATAACTAGTCAATCTGACTCTTATAAAAAAAACAACTCTTTCGTCTTAATTTTTTAATCAGAAGAATTAATCACAAAATTACACTGAAATTGCGAACAATAGATTTAAGATGAAATAATTTCATTGCAGTCAAATAGTCAAAGAATTTTTAAAAAAATGAAATAAACACAAGCGCGTTAGACTTTCCGATATCCTAAATTTTGCCATTTTGTGTATATCAGTAGTAAAAGGTTGAATATTTCTCATTATTTCT